GAAAGAAAGTCCAGTTTTAGAGGCAGGAGGAAACCGCAGTCGGTGGAACCAACCAGAGAAAAACTGCGAGAGTGATTACGGACTGGAAACCAAATGCAATTAAAGCCTAGCCAAGCTGGGAGTCAACCTAGGTCTCATTGATGCAAAGCAAGGAAAAAACCGATACGCTAACCCGCTGTCCCGTTATGCTGCACATTCCTGCTGCACCCCCCCCCCGTAAATCTGAAAGGAATTCCCCAAATTCTCACAACACTGAAGAGACATGTGACAAATACTGCAACAGATGATCATTGACATAGAAAAGCACAAAAATCTCAGTCACGACAACCATAAACCTGGCCTAATAAAATTGCAAAGCAGCCGGTGGATTGTCTAAAACAGTACGCGCACTTAATCTTGTCTAGTGTACGCAAGAGCTTGTACAGGTTATATCAATAGAGGTTCTCCAAGCACGTATGTGAGAAACAGAAGCATCCTGGCATCCTACATATCGGTTTCCCAGTGATCTGCGAACAACAGAGATATACATGTAAGCTCAAAAATTCATCCCACAAACCCAGCCCAAAATCACCCCTGATACTGAACACTGACCGCAAGCAAGCAACTTTTGAGACTGTTTTAGGGTCTGGGATTAGTTTGATGCACCTGATGTTTGCCTTCGGGTGCTGATAAACTAAAAGTGATTGATTGCCAACAATAACATCAGTGGCAAGAAACGGATCTGGTTTGTAAACACTTTACAGAATAATGCCAGGTTTCTCAGAATTGGTGTGGTATCTGGTTGACTCCCACGTTAAAGATATCCACACCGGCTTAAAGAATGCTTGTTGAATGATGATTACAATTTAGTCTCAGTAGCTGTATAACCTGTTAATTACAAATACAAAAGGTGTCCCACCAGAGAAGTCCACTTGGCACCCGAAAGGTAGAACAGGCTACACAAAGAAAATTTGGATGTCTCCAGTAGCGTATGCACAGAATTTGAACAGTTGTTGAAAGGAAAAGGCCAAGCAAAAACACATTTAAAAAGTCAAAGGGGCGCCAATAGTCTAATACTCTGAAGAAAATAATACTTACTATTCTCCGTTGATTAGAAAGCCGAAAATCTCCAACTCCAGCTCCAAATGGAAGAAAGTTGCTTGCTATTGTGAGGAAAATACATCATTTATACTAACTATTTTGAGACTACATGCTGGAGCAGGAGGTGGTGCGTCTCTGCATGGTAGCGGCATCCTTTTAATGGCACTCAGCACATGCAGGATGCGCAAAGGTTCTCGCACATTGCTTGAGACATGCTAAGCAGTATGACGTCAGTGTATTCTTGAGGGGTGGGTGTGGCTTTTTCTTTGCCAGTGAGGGTGCTGGTGAACAGCTAGAGTCAAAGCAGATGTGACCTCTTATCTTTCATCATTATAGCGAATCTTACACCGACATACATGTACATTCATATACATTTATATACTAAGTCCTTGTGCAACTTGCAAGAGCTTAGGAAAAACTTCACACGTTTACTCGGGTGGGACGCAATCCAAAGATTTCCTGCCGAGCAGTGCAGATGTATAAACCACTTAGCCACTGCGGCCCGACCGATCTGCGTCAGGTGTAGCATGCAGCGGGTACCGCAAACTATTATCATTAGCTCTTTAAATCTCCCTTTGCTTAATTTTAGAAAATCTCAGAACGTCTCTTCGACCTTTNTTGCATGTAAGCTCAAAAATTCATCCCACAAACCCAGCCCAAAATCACCCCCGATACTGAACACTGACCGCAAGCAAGCAACTCTTGAGACTGTTTTAGGATCTGGGATTAGTTTGATGCACCTGGTGTTTGCCTTCGGGTGCCGATAAACTAAAAGTGATTGATAGCCAACAATAACATCAGTGGCAAGAAACGGATCTGGTTTGTAAATACTTTCCAGAATAATGCCAGGTTTCTCAGAATTGGTGTGGTATCTGGTTGACTCCCACGTCACAGATATCCACACCGGCTTAAAAAGGCTTGTTGAATGAGGATTGCAATTTAGTCTCAAGAGCTGTATAACCTGTTAATTACAAATACAAAAGGTGTCCTACCAGAGTAGTCCACTTAGCGCCCGAGAGGTAGAACAGGCTACACAAAGAAAATTTGGATGTCTCCAGTAGCGTATGCACAGAATTTGAACAGTTGTTGAAAGGAAAAGGCCAAGCAAAAACACATTTAAAAAGTCCAAGGGGCGCCAATAGTCTAATATACCCTAAAGAAAATAATACTTACTATTCTCCGTTGATTAGAAAGCCGAAAATCTCCAACTCTAGCTCCAAATGGAAGAAAGTTGCTTGCTATTGTAAGAAAAATACATCATTTATAGTAACTATTTTGAGATTACATGCTGGAGCAGGAGGTGGTGCGTCTCTGCATGGCAGCGGCAGCCTTTTGATGGAACTCGGCACATGCAGGATGCGCAAAGGTTCTCGCACATTGCATGAGGCATGCTAAGCAGCAGGACCTCAGAGCATTCTTGAGGCGTGGGTGTGGCTTTTTCGTTGCCAGTGAGGGTGCCGGTGAACAGCTAGAGTCAAAGCAGGTGTGACCTCTTATCTTTCATCATTATAGCGAAACTTACACCGACATACATGTACATTCATATACATTTATATACTAAGTCCTTGTGCAAGAGCTTAGGAAAACCTTCACACGTTTACTCGGGTGGAATGCAATCCAAAGATTTCCTGCCGAGTAATGCAGACGTATAAACCAATTAGCTACTGCGGGCCAACCGATCTGCGTCAGGTGTAACATGCAGCGGGTACCGCAAACTATTAGCATTAGCTCTTGAAATCTCCCTTAATTTTAGAAAATTTCAGAAGGTCTCTTTGACTTTTCTTAATTCTGCTTTTCTTTTTCCTTTTATTATTCTAAGAAATGAGACATAACTAGGTGTGCATATATGTGAAAATGAGTCTTAAGTCTCCAGAGCCACTTAGGGTAAAAAGTCCTTTAGAATAATTCTGCACATTGTAAATCAATAGAAACTGACAGCATTTTTCACCATTGAATATCCACCAGGATGCAAAACTGATTGATACATCAAATAAAAAAACTCAATTTACTCTTTCCAATATAAAAAAGTGGCTATTAGGACTTAAGACTCATTTTTAGAGAGTGGGCCACATATTTCAAAAAAGAAAATCCAATCAGAACCCCTTTTATTTGTTAAAACCATCTTTGGACTTGATCCACCAGATTTCACTGCCACGTCAACCACATATTAATTTGATGTAGTTTTTTATTCTTCCAAAATACAGCCTCACTTTGTGATGGAGACTTAGGTGTCTACTCCGATGAAAAGGTCTTACCAATGACACGGAAAGAGAAACTGTTTGTCGAGACGCAGTCACCAACTGCAACATGACAGGTCACGGTGTAAGATCCAACATCCAAAGTGATGCCTCCATTTAATGGAACCCGAATTCCCCTCTCAGTGCAGGTAATAATAGACCCATTGGTGTTAATTCCATACACTGCATTCCATGCCACATACACGGACGACTGTCCTGGTTGGGTACACTGATCGGGTACAGATGGTACAATAATGCTGGGTGTCGCTGTAGGAATCCAGAAAATAGTCAGGAATAAATCTCCAGGTCTACCTGAGAAACGGAATTGACTTCATAACTTCCAAGTAAACGAGAAAGGAAGATGACCAAGTAGTGTTTTTTAATTATTACAAATCCTAGCCGACATCTTCCCATGTGCCCATTGGAAACTAAATGTCATTCAACGGAGCCTGCAACCTATCTGGACATGAAATAACATGCAAGATAACCATGTTTGAAGATTCAAGGCAATGTCCTCCAAGGAAGCCACGTCCGTAAGGTACTCAGACCCACACGTTTTGACAAATAGACTGACTCACTCAAACGAACCCATCCCAGCTACGCACAGACAGGCTTAACATATCTGAGCGACAAAGGTGATGGTACCACGGTTTTCTCGTACCGTCAAACGGGGTAACTTTGGTAGCTTGGAATCCTCATCGTTTCTGCTTTTCTGAAAACAGCAATATTTTTGTTGTTGTTGATAGGAAAATTTTGTCATATGAAGCCTTAAGTCTAATCTAGGGATAGAAAACAGCCATCCACCTCTCTTTAATTGTCCGTTAAATCTTAATTAGATGCTGCCAATGTTACCACCGTAGTTTGGGGCAACTTTGGCAGGTTGCTGGAACTAAATAAAATTATAAAGGATCATAAAACATTAAAACGTTTTACACATATGATATTGATTTCATAGAAATGTTTTAGAGTATCTTTTATCATTCATATAGCGCGTTGCGAATATATGACGATTACAACCAACGAGTTTGTGCTAAAGTTACCCAAGGGTGCCAAAGTTAGAACATTTGACGGTACTTGATCTAATTTGTCAACAAAGGCCCATCATACGTGGCTGTTGCATGAATGCAGCTGTCCAACAGACTATTATACGCTTTGAAGGTAATAAGCTTACATCTTTCCTACCGGTCTATCCATTTGTTTGCGAATGAAGGCGTGATGAAAGTATTATGCATTCGACAAACAGGTCAAGCGAAAAGCATTGCTCTGATGGTCTGAAGCTGTGATGTACCTCCTTGACAGAAATACCTTTTAAAAGGAAAGCTAAGTTTATAGGGAAGTCGCCTTTCCCGAAATGATCCAATTTAGCAAGGACCTTTTAGGGTTAAACGCAAAATGGTGGTCGCCGAGGCTGTGAATGACATTTGCTTCAAATTGTTTTTAAACAACCATAAATGGCCATTACCCAAGCCATCTAGTGGCCACATTTACACCTGATGATGAAAGGGTACGGTCCTAGTTAGGGCGTATGCCGTTGCATGCAGTACAGATGGAAACGGCCCTCGTACATTTTAATTTAATAGTTTTCTGTTTGCCTGGCATGGTTTACTACCGGATTCACAACGACAGATTGGTGAGAAATGAAAATGTGGTGTTCAGTTATGCTGTACCACAAAATAATGGCAAAATAATAGAATGTTGCATAGAGTTTTTTCCTTACCGATAACATTGAAAGAGAATGTTTCTGAGGTCCGACAACCAGCAACATTGATAACCAAACAGGATACAGTTTGTATTCCCAAAAAGAAGTAGTTGCCCCCGGTGGGAGGCACATAGATGCCACCCATCCTGCAAATGATGAGCCGGTTATCGTGGTTGGTGGCAGTGATGGAACTCCATGTCACCCGGCGGTAAAGCTGTCCTAGGACTCAAGCACTGATCAGGTACTTGTGGCACTTGAATGGATGGCGATGCTGTCGTGAAAAGAGAAACCGCTCAGTTATCACAATCTATCCACTCTCTTTGCATATTATTCTAATCTTTTCTTAACCTTAAAAGTGCACCGACCCCTGAACATTTGCAACATCAGGTGATCGATGACCTGATCTCACAACCACAACTTTAGATACACAGCGCACTGTCACTGTATGAAGCACGCTAGTAATTCGTGGGTATCAAAATAGGACCCCGAATAACATTACATACGAGCTTCAGTACCCTTATGGAAAGTGTTGGGCGAAGAAGAAGGAAAAGCGTATGTAGGTCAATTTGGCTTTAACACGTGAAGTAGTGGTTCAGAAAAAGAAAGGTCTTTCCACGGTTTGTGTCCTTGTTGGAAAAGATGTAACTTTGAACCATCAAAGAGCCATCTCAGAGCTTGGGGCGGAATCCGCCCCTAAGAACGTGGTTGTGCCACGCCCAATTTTTTACACTTTGCATACATAAACAAACACGTCTCACCATTACAAATGTGAAGTTTGAACTCAATCAAACGTGTGTATTTTGTTATGGTCATTAAAGTTCACGGCAACATCTGTGCCATTACTCGTGTATTGAGCACCGCAGTGGAAAAATATATACTCCTAGCTGACCCGTCGTGGGAAAATGCACGCTACGCGAGAACGGTATATTCGACTATTGGAAAAATAGTGTCGAAATGACTGCAACAAGTTACTCTAAAAGCTCCTAAAGCCTCAGCTCCTCAACAAATTCACTACGGCGTTATAGGAAAAACAGTTAGAGGCAGATTCTGCCTCGGCTCTTTTAGGGATGAAAGGTTAGGCCTATGCATCTTCTTGCCAAATTCATTACCCTAAAAGCTCATGTTTGCAGTAATACACAAGACTTCAGCCTCGTGTATTAATTAGGTAGTTGTTTCACATTAAAGGAAACTTTGTTACTTCACGTTGTCCTTTGACTGAAAAGGCGTTATTTAATAATGCCAAAGGGCAGGGGATCAGACGGATCCCGACACTTCGACACTTCCAGTGTCGCGCGTGCGTTAACAAGAACAACATCAAAATGATATATCTCCAATTTCTTGTTTGTCTTCAAGAAGCCAGTTGTGGGTCAGGCCTTATTAAAAGAGTACCGACTTGAACTCGTTAGACACACACATTGATGTTGAGAACAAATGGCCCAGTGCCAAGGATAGTTTCAAACGGTTTTCCTCGAGAACATTTCGTTTCCGTTCAGAGATGCAATGACATAGTCAAGGCAGCAAAGAGGGTAAGGAGGCAAAAGAAGAAAAAAACATCTCAGAACGTCCTAAATTTCGATTTGAAAGCACACCCCAACCTTCATGTGCAGAATAAAGATTAGATTATTCAAATTACTACCCTTTTTCTTTCGTCCGTCATTTTAGAAGACAAAGGGGCCCAACACATGCACATGCAGTACTTTCTTTCAACTTTGTAGAAACAAGCAAATGCTGCTCTCTTCTTCGAAGACACAAACTACTCACTGTGGACATTAAATGAGAAGCTCCTTGATGCAAGGCAACTGGCATTGTTGGTGACCTCACAGGTAATGGTGTGAACTCCAGCCCCAAAGGCCACACCTCCGCTGAGGTGGACTGAAGTTGAACCTTCTAAACAAATGATTGGTTGTCCATCGGTGTTCACACCAGATACCGAGGCCCAGCTCACTGTTGCAGAGGTCAGTCCAGAAGTGGTGCATTGATCTTTTACTGCTGGCACTGTCAGGTACGGCGATGCTAACAAAATTTAAAATCAGAAACATCAAAAGGTAAAGGTAGCTACAGAGGAGCGTATCCAAATATGAGGCACAAAGAAAACCCTGTCATTGGGGAGTCTCTACATTTACAAAACCAGCATTTTAATCCTAAAAGAGCTGGGGGTTGGGCAGTCTCAAAGCCGGGAGCGGATTTTGCTCCTTAAGAACTCGGCTGCCCAAAAGCCATATTTGTAAAATCAAGTTTGGCATGCTTATGAAGAAGCTAATTAACGGTATAAAATGCTAATTTTCAACTGAGTCCCACTGATGGTTTTGCTGAGGTTCAGGGCAACATGCGTGTCATCCCATGCGCCATGAGCGCACCAGTAGAAAAAGTGTTTAATTTTGGCTGACCTGTCTTGGAGAAATGGATGCTGCACAAGAACGGTATGACTAATGTTCACAAACTTGTGTTAAAATGGCAGTAAGACTTAGAAAAAAGCTCCTAGAGAATCGACAGGTGAAAACATGTGACGATATCGGAATAAATGTTGAGTGGGACCGATTACGTTGTTAGGATCTTTTAGAGGATTCATACAATACCGTTTGCAACAAAGATCAGAAATGGTAACAAAACATTCAAACGACGGAGATAGACAAGCCTTACCCACGACATTAACTGTGAAGCTTTTCTCTGCTGTGCATCCACCATTATTGGCAACTGAGCAGGTAATGGTGTGAGATCCAACCCCGAAGGATCCCCCATTGAGAAACACTTGCCTGTTTCCCTCCAAACACAGAATGGGTTGACCGTCGGTGTTGGTAGCAGTTACTCTATCCCACGTGACTATATATGAATCATATATCTCTCCCGCTGGGGTACAGTGAACAAAATCTTCCGGTACGTTGATTGATGGTGATGCTTTTGGGATGAGAAAAAATATTGAGTGAATACCATCAACCTTAATTGGTTTTTTCTGCTCTGTTCTAGTTTCTGAAACAAAAAGATGATTGAGATGCCTTGGCTAAAGTTATGGTGAAAGCAGCTTCCAAGAAATTAAGGTTTAGATTTTTCAGTCAGTAAATGCTAAAACTCATAAGTTCGTCACAGAAACAGAAATCAGAGACCAGTTTCAGCCTCTGGAAAAAGAATTTTAAACCTGTCGAAAGAGTTGCTAAATAGGTCAAAAAAGCTGTGTTTTTGAAAATGGACACATTTCTTACCGAGGACATTAAATGTGAAGCCTTTCATCACAGGACAGTTGCCACTGTTGGTGACCTGGCAGTTCACGGTGTGGGCTCCCAAACCGAAAGCTACGCCTCCGTCAAGAGGCACAGACATTGAAGCTTCCATACATTGGACAACTTCTCCGCCTGTGTTCAGGCCAGATACTGCATTCCAGCTTACTATGGCGTTAGCTGATCCGGGAACAGTGCACTGATCATTCACTTGTGGCACTGTCAGGTAAGGTAATGCTAACCAGAATAAAATAAAAATATAATAATCAACCCTCCAACCAAGTCCGTTACAGCCAGAAGAAAACCTAGAAGCCCGTAAAGCCCTAACTTTGAATTAAACTTTAAAATGACATTGACCAGCATGGACACACAATACACATGCACTGATATCTCTTGAACAGTGGCATAAATACGGGGGGGCATGCATGGGGTCATATGCCCCCCAGCAGCAGATGCCGTGCACCCTCCCGTACCCCCCTACCGAACAATCT